TAGCTCTTGTCCCCAAGAGGAAAAAAAAGCGGGGGGGGGGGGGGGTAAAAAAATGTTTTCTGCTACTAAAATGACAGGGAGCAGAGTAGTCAGGAATATTAGATCTCAGATGCCACCGAGAAAGTTGTGTTTGCATTGAAAGCAGAATGAGGACAAGGACGTGTGTATACCTGCATGAGAACATCCTAGATAGAGAAAACAAAAAAGTTAAGGCAGCAGCAGGCTAGGCCTGTTAGATAATTGGGAAGGCCAGTGTGACAGCTTTATGTTTTATATCTCTGTTTATTTATTCATTATCCTGATGGAAACAGGAGGTTTCTGAATCTGAGCTCAAACCATTTATTTACTCACAGAGCAGCTTGTTATTTTCCATGACCCAATTTCCCCTGGGGGAAGCATTGAAGACCAGGTGTACCTTGTGTGTACATGGGTTTATGTACCATGGAAAGGAGTCCCTAAACTATGAAATTCCAGGAAAGGATGAGTGGATAGACAGAGGTAGAGGATAGACAGAAAAGGCACACTAAAGAAAACTTTACTCTGAAATACAAAAAAAAAAAAAAAAAAACCTCCTAGAAAGGATGAGAAGGATCTAGGTTTGATTCCACAGAACAGTCAACAAATGCCTCAGGGAGAGTAGTTCTGAAATCTTGCTGGATGTCTTTATCTTATGGTTGTTTTTCAATCATCTTTTAACCCAGATTCCTTTGCTCTTTACTCTGAAAGTTCTGACAATGAAGAAATGAAAATAAATATTCAATGAGCACAGCAAAAGAGAAGGAAGAGTGGTAAAGAAAGAGGTCAGACAGGTAGACACATATAGAGTGTTTGGATCTCAGTAAAGAGCTTGGGATTGATTCTGAGTACAATGGTAATGTACTCACACTATGTTGGAGCATAATATGCTCTGATACAGGCTTTATTGATTCCCTGGTTGTGGCAAACAGAATGGACAACCAGTCGTGTAAGAGTGGGAGAAAAGAGGCCAATGTGAAGGTGACTGCTGTCGTCAGCTTCCATGAGATGATGTTCTGCCCATGGTAAAGTAATGAAGAGTGACAGCTGTGGACATAGTAGGGCTGAATGTGCTGGATGAGGGTTGGGGGACATTGGGGAAGAATGAGATGCATTCTGATCACCGAGTTTGATTGCCTTGTGTCTTGTTTGTGTGAGCAACTGGTGATGTCATGTGTATGTTTTATAACAGAAAGCTTTGATGAGGGTCAAGATATACAGTGGGGAATAGTAATCCCAAAGTCTCCTTTTGCTGGTGTGTCTGACATGCTCTATCAGAGAGGTCACCAGCAGGAAACAAATGACACAGGGAGTAAAATGCACAAGGTGTCCTGATAAGTGGGCAGGGCTAAGGAACCAACACAGGGACCCACATGGGTAGAAAAATGGGAAGCCATAACTGACTGGGTCTGAAAAGGCAGGGCAAGGGGGACATTACTGGCCTTAGGGGGCATTGCAGGCATGGGAGAGGCCCTACACAGCAGGAGTTGTGGGATTTGCTAAAGGATGGGACCTTTAACAAAATCAAAGCTGAATAGGAACAGAGCAGAAGGAGGTGATTTGCCCATTTTCTCTACCCAGCTGCTCTGCTGAATCCTGCAGGTCTCTTCCTGCCAAATCCAAGCAGAAGCCAGAGAGTCTGGGAGCCCAGGTGATGGAGTCCGCAGACAGCAGGTCATGCCACTGGGCAGGGGCCTGTAGAGCAATCCCGAGGGTCCAGAACAAACCACACAGATGCCTCCAGACCTCTTTAAAGAAGGCGAAGATACTCAGTTGCAGAGCTCAGTGGAGAGATCAGGGGGAAGATGTTAATCTGGAAGTCTCAGCCTTTATGTCTGTGGCATTAGGAGCTATTATTTGTTATGCCCTTACTTTTTGCTAGCCAGAATACCAGCATTTCAAATGCATTGTTAGCTCAATTAATTAACCCAACAAAGCTGAAGCTTAAATACCATTACGTCATTGTACACAGCTGGCAACTGAAGCACAGTGAAGTGAAGCAATTTGTTTAAGGTCACAAGGCCATTAGGTGGCAGACCCAGAAACCAAGAGCCAGGCCTTTCCACCCCCGGGGCCAGTGATAACAAACCATTATTGAGCATAGTTTCTTTGAGAGAATCAAATATTAAAGCAGTGTTTCTTGGTCACATGATAATTTTTTTTTTTAATTCTTTCCTCCTTTTCCTTTTTTCTATTCCTTTGAAAGAAAACAATTCTGACAAGAATTCATCAGAGAAGGTATTCCAAAACTTAATGTCCTGGTTTGGGTATTGCTTTTGATTAAGGCTGTTTGCAGACTAGAATATTAGTAACCCACATATTCCCTCTACCTCAAAAAGAGTAGATTCACTTTTATCTTGGGAACAAAGCTGGAAAGAAAAGCTTTTTTAACTTTTCTTAATTCATGAAACATTTATCTTCAAGTCAGGTTTTGTTATAGCAGCACAAATATGGTCCGTCAGCATTTCCATTATAAACCCATATTTCCAGGACTTTTCAAGAGTGCCTTAGAGACCTCCTTTGAATTAAAACTTGGCATTCAGGATTTGAATCAGGAAGCTACATTTTCCTTACCAATTAATCAAATAGTTTAAGAGATTCTCAAGTTAGAAAAGGGCCAAATACAAAACTTTTATTAGTACAAATATATTTTAAGACATATTTGTCAATTTAAAACTTTGTAAAAATATTCATTCTACAAGTATAATATTATATCACTATGTATTAGGTCTTAAAGAAAATCAAACTTAAAAGTGCTTAAGATAAAAAAAAAATTATAACATCTTACATTTTGCCTATTTGGCTTTATGAGTAATTTATTTCTACTTTGGGAATTTAGATGATTTGAAGTTCTCAGTATAATTGCTTTAAAGTTTTAATGGTATCAAGATATGGAAGTAGAATAACAACGGGGAAAAGAGAAGATCCTGAGGGAATGCCAAAGTGTTTCTACATATTTTTGGTGAAATTTATGTGGGGAAAGTTCTCTATTCTATGAATAGAGATTAATAGCATGCACTGATTCTATAAAATAGCTATTTGAAATTGTACTTGCTGAAAATAATGGGGAAAGTGCAGACTAAGTAGAACTTAATTATGCAGCCTTTCCGATTTTACTTAGTTTAGAAATGAGTGACTGGTCACAACAAGGGAACATCATGATAATCTATCTTCAGTATCTTATTTTGTAGGGTTTTTTTTTTTTTTTTTTTTTTTTACTGTGAGCTCTTTTCTAGCCTTAGTAAATATAAGACAGAGAATGTCAATTTACTCTTTTGAGTAAATCTACTCTCTTCCTGATTGACTTCTCTCCAGTGACTTCCATGATGTTCCAGAAGCTTCTGGCAAACTCTACCCTGAAGAACTTTGGCTCCAGCTCTTCTTTCTTCCTAGAACCCTTTTCCTCCAGATATCTGCTTGGCTAACTCCTGTACTACCTTCAGTCTTTGTTCAGACCTTGCCTTTTGAGCCGGTTCAAACTAAACCACTCTGCTTGATAGTGTGATTTGCCTATGGCTGCCAAAGGGGCTGAGGGAAATTTCACACAAATTATTAACTTACACACAAAGTTATTCACCTGCCTCAGCATGGGAGCCCTTCCAACATGAAGCCCAAAGAAGGGACAAATGGTTGAGGCTTAAATACCCTTTTCATGAGGAAATAGGAAGTGGGAAGCTTCAGGCAATTTCAGAGGAGAAGTAAATGACTTTTAGAGGAATCAACTGGGTCCAAAGGATAGACACCAGACTGTAAATGGTTCTCTTGGAAGCTGAACAGTGGACAATAGCTTGTGACAGGCTCCTTGTGGTAACAATGCTCAGTCTCCCTTCCCTGGATAATAAGACATTAGGAAGTAAGTCCAAAATAACTATATTACTTTTGAAAGAGCTTCCTTTAGTCAGGTAAGAAAGCTTCAGAGAGAGCCCCTCCTTGTGTTTGGGGGAGGAACGGGGGAAGACCAGAGATCCTTGATCCTGAAACTGTTTCTTCAGCTCTGTATGTTAAAGTATCACACTTTGGGGTATTATTTTCTGAGATCTAATATACCCAATCCTCAAAATAATGATATCTCTGTCGGACATTTTTTTTCTTTACACATTTTTCATCCCCTAACACTCTTTATGACTTTTTAGCAAAGTGTCTATCTCTCCCCAGTAAGAGAAGGTCCAAGAAGATAAAGTTCTGTTTCATTTGTTGACACAGCTGATTACCTAGAGTTGTGCCTAACATATTAATTGCTCAAAAATCATTGTTGATTTCAAATTTCAAGACTATCTGAACAATAGTCCAGACATAATTTATCCTGGTTCTGTTAAAGTATTTGGGTTATTTGCCTAATACAGTCAAGAATACCCTTGGAACATTTGTGTCAAAATGAAGGCCCCATGTGTAAAGCTCCAATCTAACATGTTATGGGTCCGTGGTTTCTGGAAACATTTAAGCTGAATTTTGAAGGTTTTGTAGTTAAATTTAAGTTGAGGTGGGGAGGTAGGGGAGATAAACTGATACAAAGTATAGTTTTCACAAAACAAATGCTTATTGTGTATTTAAAAATGTCAACATGTGTGTTTTATAACAGTTTTGTACATGGAATGATATTAATGCTGAACTTTAAAAATTCTGGAATTAAACTGTGGTCTTATAATTTTAAAAGGGGGAAGAAACCCAGCCCCCACCCCAGCAATAGTAGAAATGGTGTTCTGGAAATGAGCTGCCCAATGGAGCCATATGAAAGATTTACAACCCACTCATGGAATAAAAGCAGGAATGGAATTTCAGAGTAGATACCAGTACTCTGACAGCTCATCAGCCCTCTCCGACTGTGAGTGGTACTAGAGGGCAAAAGCTAATATTTTCTATCTTGAGGATGTATTAATTTTATTATAGGACAAAAAAACTTTAAAGCTTGAATACAATTATTATTCAATTCATTTTCACATATCAAATGGAATTTATTTGACTTGATTCCTTCTTTGTCTTTCTAGGGTAGATGTGAACATTCACTTTATGGCCACATGCATTCCATCAATGATGCCACCTTCACTCCTACTGTGAGTTCAGTTCTCTAATATATTCTTGTAGTTCTTCATATGTGTGAATTCATTCTTTTGAAATAATTTCCCAAGGTAGATGGTAATTTAACATTGGGGTGGAGAACAAATCTAGAAATTAATTGTAAATATCATTAAAATGTGTGTTTGGTAAAGGATTGCTGAGCTTTGAAACTTACACATTCACACACATAAGTTCTCAGTGAAAGGAGTTCTGTCATATTCAGTTTCACTTAAAAACACATTTTAAGAGCCCTTTGTCCAGTGTGAGCATCAAGAAAAGCAAATGGAAGAGAGGCTGAATTAAATTTTAATGAAGAATCATAAAATAACTGAGGAGCTTGGAAGGAAACCTGAAGAATAAAGAACAATTAAAGAAAAGGGGAGTTTTATTCACTTTGCAACATATAAATTGATAACAAAAGTATTTTATCTACAGCTTGAGGTATTCAGATATAAGGATGATTTCACCAACTGTGAAAACTGTGAAACATTGCTTTGAGTTGCTAAGCTAATTGAGGACATCTGTAAAAGGGTTCAGATAATAATCATGAAAGAATGATTTAAGCTTGTACCTTCTCAGATGAAAGCAATTTGACTAGATAGATGGCCTCTCCTGTCCCTGAAAGTTCTGATTTAATTATATCTAACATCTTAATTTGTCTCTAAGTTCCCAGTAGAATGAGAACCCTGATTCCCTATTCCTTTTCTTTTCCAATTAGCTAAAAAAGAAATCTGATAGATTACTAACATCTAACTTCAAAATGACAGTATAGTCAAAATTCTGTTACTATCATGCTATTCTTCTTCTTCTAGAAAGAAGAAATATGCTCACTAAAAATTATATGTTGACTGAGGAAGAAATGTTGATTGCTCCAGCTGAAATTTTTCTGGTGTCCTGTCGCTGTCAGTCCCAAGAATTTTAACAATGGGCTCAACCATAATTATACTTTAATAGATTTGTCTTTGTAAGAAATATTCCATTTAATTGACTGTAGTGAGCCAATTAGTCCCAAAATACTATAGGATGAACTGGTTCTAGATACCAAGTAAAATTTTATTTCTAGCAGAATAAAGACACATTTAAACACCAGGGACCCATATGATATGGATATTTACGTTAAAACTCTATTAAATGGTTATAGCTCCTCATGCTAGAGGAAAATTAAATGGAAGCTGAAATGAATTAAACTAACATTTTTGTAAATCAGGAATCTTATTTTGATAGGCAATACTATAGGTGAAAAAGACACACCATTCGACTTTCTAAATAGTGAATGAATAAATATGGAAATAGCCAAATTAGATTTGGCAATCAAGGGAGACACACATTAATTAGACATATTTCAAAAGGTGAGATGATGATATGAGGTCCAGGTATTAAATATCAAAATGAGTAACCTGTTTTGGTTTTCACACTTTGTTCAAGCCAAAAGGACTTTAACAACACTGTTTCAACATCTGAAAGCCTTATTAAAAGTTTCTGTTAGTGCATCTCTTTTTTGCTGTGTGTATTTATTAACTATTAAGAAAACTGTGTTTTGTTATGGTGATTGACATTCCTAAGTGAAAGTTTTGGTCACTTGTATTGTTTTTTTCAGAACTTTCTCTACAATAAAATTCAAATTTATCTTATGTCACATACCTGGGAAGCACAGTGACTGCAGAGCACAGAGACTTTAGGTCTCTGGAAAACATGTCACTGTGACATAGTTCACATTCAAATAATCTATCAAAGTAGCAGTAACAAATGTCTTATATGGTGCACAGAGAGAGATTTTGATTAGTCACTATTAGACTTGCTAATTGTTTGATACCTCTAGAGAGAGGCATTTATGTTATATGACTAGCTAAAATTGCAATTAGCTATTTATGTGGTCACAATTTTAAGAAAATTCTACAATTTAGATTTGCAAGCATGAATCACAAATACAGAATTCAGTGTTATCCATCTAGCAATCAAGAGTCACAAAAACCAAATATACAACATGCAATATTTATGTATGTCCCTGTAAATCTGGGAATTTTATTTGATTTATAATATTAGACCTTTGAGGTTTTCATTTTTGACTGACTTCACTATTGAAAGTAGATATTTATTTTGAACTATTTTTACAGTAATCTGTAATGGAATATTTTGAAAAACTCTGAAAGTTTTTTCCTTTATTAAATCCTTCTTATAAAACAAAACCCCAAGTCAAAAGGGATGTTAACAGTGACTACTGGGAAAGTATTAATGGAGAAAATTTAATATATGGAAAGGATAAAAAAAAATACACAGATGTGTATATGTCCTGTATACATGGCAGGAAAGAGACAGGAGCCTCCTGTAACGCATTCTCCAGGAAGTTGACCTGTTATGACTGGGATGGTGATTCCATCAGGCCTTCCAGAGGTTCTTTTTGGACTTCGTCCTCCTATTTCCCACATTATTTTTATTTGGCATTTATTACCACCTTGCACTTAGTCATGTAAACAGTTGGTATATTTTAGATATACCAGTATGCTTTATTATTTCTTTGCCTAAAATTGACTATTTTCCCCTCCTTCCTTCAGGGTTTCATTTTCTTCTTGCTAAAGAATATTCTCTGGCAGTTCTTTCAGAGAGAGTGTGTAGCTAGTAAACATTATTGGTGTTTTTATACCTGAAAATGCCATTATTTTCTTTTCATTCTGATATTCCATGTTCTTCTGGCACTCTAGTTGCAGATGAGACTCTACTCTTAATCATGTAGTTGATCCTTTGTAAATGATCTGTTTGATCTTTCTCTGATACACTGTAGTATCTTTGACATCTTTCTTACATTCCATTTTTCTGTGATATATCAGCATGTGGAGTTGTGTCTTTTTGGTCTTTTCCAGGACCTGATGTCCTCATTTTCTCAATATGAATACCCTTGATTTCCTACAATTCTGGAAAATTTTCAAACATTGTTTCTTTAAATATTGTTTTCTTAGAATTTCTTTTGGTCTCTCCTTTCAAAGCTTATTTTGTGTATTTACTGAAACTTATTCAATTCTCTGTGTCCCTATACTTTTTCTATACTTCTTATGCTTTAGTTCTATTTGTTGCATTCTGATTAATTTCTCCAGATCTCTTTTATGATTCATTAAATCTTGATGAGCCAAACTTTTAAAGTTGGTGTTGAATATGTTATATTTAAATTACTATATTTTCCTATATTTTTTGGATTATTCTTCAATTTTCCTCTCTATTTCATTATGTCTTATTTGATTTCTGGTTTTACATTCTTTTTTTTTTCTTTTAATCCATAATTTCTATGAGTTTTCTGTGGCAGTTATTTATGCGTTATCTTATTCCTCCGTGTTTTTCAAACATTTGCTAATATCATTTTCTCTATACATTCTAGTGTAAATATCAAGTCCAGTCCAAGATACTACTCTTGATTTCCACATCCTTATATCCAGTGGCTGGTTCCATTTTCATCCAACTTTACTTTTCATCATCAATCAAAATATTCTTCTCTGTTGAGTCCTGAGAAGTAAAATATCCTCAATCCTTCTTTCTCAGTCCAAGGTTCTGCATCTTCTGTAGGATGGCAGGTCAATATCACACTGTAGAAGACTTTCTCTTCTTTTTATTTGTTCTTTTTACATGTATTTTGACACATTATAATACACAGAGTATCACTTATTCTAATTAGGATCCCATTCTTACAGAGAACCATGTACTCTAGCATATTCTTTTTTTAATTCCTCTCATTCACCTTGTGACATTTAGTTTCATCTAAAGCTGATCTACTTTGAAGTCAATCTCACTCTGACCCCTAGATTCACTATTAGCTATTTTGTATCTCAGTGTAAATATCTATGAGACCTCTCATTAAAAAAAAAAAAAAAAACCACAACAAAACAAAAAGCTTGCTTTTCTTCCATCCCAGCTGATCCCTCTCCCCCTGTATCAGTTTAGTAAATACCATCCTGTACCATTCCCATACAGCAGCAGGAGAATGAGTCACAGTTAGCAAACCTCCTGGGTCTTTCTGTTTACTGTGTTTCAGAAATTTCTCTACAATAAAATTCGATGCAAATAAATGAGAAAAGGATATTTTCAATTTTGTTTCACTCAATATCTCCAGCATCTATCAGAGTTTATTTTCCACATATAATATTCTAATAAAGCAATGAACAGATAAATGAATGCAGAGTTCTGAACCAATGCAAGCATGAGGCTTTTATTACAGCATTATATCATGGTCTCTTATTTATTTCAATTTCATTGGCCTTCCAAGTTCTGTAGATACTGAGCTAATACACATTTAATTACCAGGATAGATTAGCTATTCCTTAGAAATCTTCTATGACATCCTAGTGTCTCATGCCTTTGAACTATGGAACAATTACCCATTTCACTAATGTTTCTTCCCCCTAGAACTTTTCAAATTCTAACTCTGCCATACAAAGAATGTATTACCAATATTTGAACATATTGCTTATATTTATCAATAAGATAAACATAAAGATGCAGTACACATTTTGCACCTTAAAAAAACTAGAATTCTAAAAATTATTTCTAATGAACTTTGTAACTGTATTAAACTTGATCTAACTCTGACTAAAGAATAGATATGATTCAGTAGAAATATTTTGTCCCTTTCAAATCAAGGTATGACATGCAATTATTAGGCAGTTACACTTTCAAATTTTATCTGAGATAGGTTAATTGCTTTCCAAACTTGCTAGTTTGTGAACATAAATACATTAATTCACATTAACTTTTAAAACCTCATTCATAAACAAGTATGTGTAATTACCTACCTTAAAAAGTTATGGTCACTCCATTTTAATACAAGAAGCTGAATTGTTGATTTCAGACTTTTTTAAAAAAAATATTGTGATTCAGCTCAAACAGAAAGTCCTTAGTTTCAATTTCTAGCCATTTTATATACCGAAATGAAAACAATATTTAGGTCATGCAGTCATTGATCCTCTGAAGGACAAATGATGTCAGGCGGTATTTATATACTACAAAAATTTCA